GGTTGGATTCACTTGAAGTTATAACGGATTCACTTGAAGTTATGCCGGATTCATTTGAAAGGGTATAGAGAAAACATTTAGTCGTCATTTACCTGTTCCCAGATCGTATTCATGAATTCAAAAGATTCCCATAGGCCGTATTTGGCTAATACGGCCGGAGTGGTTCCAGAAATTTCGCAAGCCACTTTGCAGTACCCTATTACGGGAAGTTGACCATTGATAACATAAGGCTCAAAGGTAAACCCTTATTATGAAAATTTGGTTTCCCGTACAGACGTGGATCGCAAGGTTTAATCACTTCGATAAAAGAATCCGTTGTAACTTCAGGTGAATCCAACCAATCGCACTCCATTGGAAACCCCACAAGATGATTGGTGTTTCGGCCATCAAATGTCACCCATTGGACCGGGTCCGTCAAAACCCCGCCCAGTCTGAACGAACTCACTTCCCCGTAAAAAACAAAAGTACATTTTTAGTGAGTTACCGAGCAAGGTTGAATGTTTCGGGAGGGAAGTGGGTGGGTTGAGGTGGGCCGTCCCACCCCACCCACCCCCACACACACACACCCGTTCCACCGGGGAACGTTATGTTCGTGATTGTTGATCGAATGTGCGTCATAGATACGAAGGAACTAACCCGGAGTTAATTGACCTCTGTCGGCCGGGTAAGGATTCGCTTCCTTACGTCAAGATGGATCGATAAGTTAGTCACCATGCCCAGACGTGAATGTGAGCATGATTCATTGCATGAGTGGGGTCAGTCAAAGCCCTCAATAACCCAATGAGTAAATTCTATTGAGGCTGAGTTTCTCCGAATAAAACCGATTCCTTTGAATCAAATGCGATTGCTTACGTATTTCTGACATTGAAATGTACACTTCACGAGATACTTAGCATGCATAATATGATGTGGGTGACTAATGTAGTTAGTTTGACCACTCAAATCCGTGATTATTTTGACCAAACTGGAATCGACTCCAACGGTTGATAGCTTATACCATTTACGCTCTAACGATAAGCAAAATGTCGACCTGCCCAACCTAGTGTACTATTTCTACATGATCGTTCGATTTTAAAGATGCATGAACTTCCCGCCTCGATTATTCTTTAATCGCTACGTGTCCTGGGAAATACTGCCTACTGAGGGACTGATTCTGTAATAAATTATCCACAAACGCAAAGTGGATAACCAGCACACTGTAATTGTAATTGTACCCCAAAGTCTACGAACTATCTGATGAACCCGGCCTATCGACTCCAATAATGATAGAACTTCTTGACTTATACCTCCCATTCACAAAATAGTTCAGTGATTAGAAAAAGATCAGATGCATTAAAAATCAGACACTTTGATATCTGTCGGATAATTTACACGAAATGGCTAGTTGTATCCTGGCAATTATCCTTCGTGTTATGAGGCTTGACGTCACTAGCAATGCTTTCCAAACATGCCATCCTCCAGTTTAGAATGACACGGTGCGTTGTCACACAATCACATATTTGTGCACTTCTTGCAATAATTGCTCAACTAGCGTTTGTAACCATCGCAGACACAATACGGAGCTGTACGACGCTTTTTCAGAATATAGTTCAACAACCCATCAGCATTCATAGCACCCATGATGTTCAGATTTCTTCCTGTTGAACTGGCCACTGGTATCCGACTCCTTTGAGCTCTTACTGCACGCCCATAATTTCTTGAAGAATGTAGGTTGAAGTTAGTTTCATCAATTCAGACAATCTCATGTTCAACTCCCCCGTACCATTGCAAGTTTTGAACATATCTAGGAAGAAATGACTCAAAAACAGGTCAAAAACAGGTCCTCTTTGCTTTATTATCCATCAAGTTCATCTTTACTGGTAATTGATGAATCTTTTTATTGTAATCAGTTTCCCTTCTAAATAGTTACTGATAGTTGTGATGGAAACTTCTTTATCATATTCAGCCTTGAGTTTCATCCTTAAAAACAGCAGTGTTACAGTCGGATTCTCCTCAATCCATGAAATGAGTTCCTCTACACGGTGGTGTGATAACTTGTTGAACCGTCTTCCTCCGTGTGTGAATTCTGACGGTTCTTTTTGATATCTTCTTATCCATGTCCTCGCTGTCCTTTTCTTCACACCAAGTGACCATCAACCAGTCATCACAATTGTCGTGCGCTCGTTGTATCCATTGCAGGATGCCAGCAAGTAAATGAGATGTAAATGTCAAGCAATAATTCAGAGGATATTTATATCAAGTAAGCAAATTGATCCGCCAATCATTATCGTATTTTTAACCAAGAATTCGAAATTGTCAATGTCCCTCCATATTATGGCAACTACAACACAATTGCCCGATAATAATCCACCAGACTAATGTTGCCAACACAAACTCCTTTGATTGTTTGGTTGTTTCCAATCCATCATTTTCACACAGGCTAGGCGTTACGTCATCCTAGTTACTGGATCGTATCAACGCAGGTTCATAAAGCATGACAATGGTTGGTACAGTGTAGTATTCGGAAGAGGAATCAAAATCGAATAGCGCGAACTCGGTAATATCCTTGTAAATGAACTGCTTGTATTCGCCCATTGTCCGTAATGTATAAATTGGGTTGACTTCTTCTTGACAGCACGGTGTACTCATCATATTGCATTTCCTTTGGCGGCATACCTTCTGAATTTGGCCAATTTTACCACAGGAATTACACTTTGCAACTCGGAATCGACAGTTGGAACGCAAATGGAATTGACCGCACGACATACACCGATTGATATTCGTGGTTGGGGTCCTTTGGTCAGAGTAATTGGTCGTCTGGAATAACGTAGACGACTCACGGGTTGTTGCTGCAGTGAGATCATCATGCTGCTCACATATCCTCCTAGCCTCGGAAAATGTTAGATCCTTCTTTTCCAGCAACTTTCTCTGGAGATTCATATTGTTAATGCCTGCAATAAGGCGATCACACAATTGCTCCTCCAGTCTGTCTCCATAATTACACTTGGAAGCCTGTTTGTTGAGCAACAGGATGAAATCTCGACAGGGCATTGACTCGGCACGAACCAACGAATTGAATTTTGCCCTCTCAGTAGCTTGGAAATCAACAGGAATCACGTGGGCAAGAAGCAGTTGTTTCAGTATCGGGAATGGTAACTTGGCCGGATTGTCGGGGAAAGCGAGATTCTTCAGCAAAGAATACATTTCCTTTCCACCCACCGTGAGAAATAGTACGGATTGATCCTGTTTTCCGTTCTGCCGTAGGCTGCACCAGAGCTCGAAACGTTCGACCCATTCTTCAACCTCAGACGGATGTGAATGTAGATTCAGGGATTCGATAGTGCGCAACTCCATGCCGCGACGCCAATTGTAGTATTCGGAATAGGAATCGAAATCGAATAGCGCGAACTCGGTATCGGACTGAAAACCCACTGAATAGCGCAAAGTCAGGTAGAACCAAGACGGGCTGTGGATACAGTTAATTCTATTCAGAAAATCATGGAAATATATATTACAAGCAACAAACAATCATTGGTCGATTTTTGAATGTCCAATCGACAAGGATATGGTTTATCTGTTTGCCTTCTTGCACTCAGCCAATCCGGATGATGCCAATTGAGACCACAGGGTTGGTCGGTTATCCCGCTTCTTGATTGGTTACCTGGAAACTGTACCGCGGTGCGTGCGTACTCGTTACACGATCACCACAACTTTCCTCCCTCAACAGTGCCTCATCAATTTGACTTGCTTTTCGTTGTGATCTCCTTAGTGTTGCGTTGGTCGAGGCTTCCGATTCCGCCGGTTCTACTGCATCTTCGTGTTCCACACCATGACACTGGGGAACCGTAGTGTCAGATTCAGGCAGTTCAGAATTGGTAGGGTTATCCTCTTTATCATGGGGTTCCGATGCACCGACAGTTCGTTCGTCTCTGAAATGTATCTGGTCGATGTGCCGTCGGTGGACAGATGCATCTGTCAAATCGGTTATCTCCACCATTGACTGACCCAAGTTTCTAGTGATGATGCCACGAACCGGGCGTAGATCGTTGCCCCTGAAGTATGTCACATCAGTAGAATCCATACATCTCAGGGAAGACCTCAGGCACCGTGACTTAAATAGCTTTGCCGGACTTTCCTTGGTAGTCGCATGTGTCGCGTTCCGGTATTGCAGTAGGAAGTTGTCCAGAAACGCCTCCAAGTCCGCAAGTGATTTCGGATTCGCGGATGACAGTGCACTCTTGACTGTTTTCACAAGATTCTCAGCCTGACCATTCGAACAGGGATGTCTTGGGGCTGTACGTAAATGTCGACATCCAATGCTATCGAGCCGAGCTTTCATCTCCGTGGCAGTGAATTGAGATCCATTGTCTGTAAAGAGCACTTGCGGTATACCTTCCCGACTGAAGCACTTCCGAAGAGCCTGGATCACGAAGGATGTTGTTGGCATACTTGTCAGAAATACTTCCGGCCACTTTGAGTAGGAATCAATGAGAACCAAGGTATAGTATCTATTCAGAACTGGGCCACAGAGGTCCGCATGTACCCGTTGCCATGGTGCATAACTTTCTGGCCATGGAGTCCAGTTTTTCGGTTTCGTCTTTACTTTGTGCAGACACGCCTCGCAATTCTTCGCAGTTGTGCAAATGTCTGCATCCAAATCAGGCCACCAACACATTTGTCGAGCCAGAGATTTCATCTTT